TTTTGAAGCAAGAGAGGTGAGCAGAATAAGTCTGATTCCCTGTAAAGACTTCTCTGTTGACACCCACCCCTTGGCGCTAATATGACCGTATGCAGTTGCGAGCGCCGTAAAACCCTCTACTATTAAAAAAACAACAAAAAACTTAATGCCTCTCAGATTCGCACAAAAAAATTGGAGAAGTTAATAATTGTTTTCTCGCGGTCATCGAATCTGGAAAAGTGGATACAAGCAGAAGTAGGAACACACGGCGACTCTTTTTTGTTTGTTTTTTTGTTGGAATCAACCACTTTACTGCCAGGCCCAAGAAGTGAGTTATGGAGTGGATCTAAGAGTAAAAGCGAGTTCCTGCATTTCATAAATCCCAGTTTATAAGACATATAAACTCTCTGAAAGCTCCTTTTTTTTTGTTTGTTTTTTTGTTTGAAGTAAGTGGTTTGGTCACGTCGTTGTTCCCTCTCAATCGTCAATAATAATATACCTCATAAAGTAAGCGACAGCACTGAGCTGACCTTGCGGAGACATTTGTGTTGACAAAACACCGCCCTCCCCTTCACACTTTCATTTTTTAAATCTATATTTCTCTCAGATGAAGGAAAACTAAGTACCTATTTTTCAGATTAAAAAGAAATCCACTAAGAGATAAGCAGAAATAAGACCATTACGTGAAAAGACGACCAGATGTTTACAGATTATTATTGTTATTGCGACGATTGTCTTCTCCCAATAAGTGCCTATGATTACGTCGCAAGAATTTAAGGAAGGTGAAGTCTCCTGGGATTTGGTATGGTATATACAAATCAACAAAATCCACAAAATGAACAAATTTGTTCGTTTTTAATGTTTGGCCTAAGTCCAAGGAGTTTAGAAGAACTAATGGAGCCTCCTCTCTCTCTCTCTCTCTCTCTCTCTCTCTCTCTCTCTCTCTCTCTCTCTCTCTCAAGCGCGCGCGTGCGCGCGCGCGTCACTTACTACACCCCTTTTGGTTCAAGTGGCGCGAAACATCATTAACACATCATGGCCGAGTGTTGGAACGATGTTGCTATGGCGACAGTCTAAAGTTGTAGCAGGCTCCACAGAAAACAAAGAAATTTAAGAGAAAATCGATGCAAACACCAACAATTGGAGTTGAGTAAATCAGGTAAAGCGATGCAAACATGACAGGGGTGCTTATTTCACAACCTTAGAATCTGAATTACAAAGTTCTATCCATCCGCTCAGTACATAGTTTGAAATTGACATAACAAATTTTGAGTTTTGCAACATGTCATTCACATTAAAATTTGATTTAGATCGATGAACCCATGGTTTTAGTAACTCAAAATGACCAAAAATGTTTGATACAACTTTGTAATTCTAATTTAGAGATAAATTAGAGCAAATATTTTGCAGAGAACTCTCTGTATCAGCTAATTCATTAAATATATCGTCAAGCTGCAACATTTTTGGCCTTGGTCATTTTTTGCACTTCGGAGTTAATAGAAGAAAAAAAACTATTTTCAGTTTGTGACAAATGCTCTTTGATAGCCCAAAATTTCCAGAGCTAATTAATTTACCGTCCTCACTAATACTAATAGTTCTTTTCTAATTAAAAAAACCCTCGGTGGTGACTGACATAGGCCATTTCATGACTTTGGCTTCTGACTTAGGCCGTTTTGCAAAAAGACTTGAGCCATTTCGTGACTGTTGTCTCTGATTTAAGCCATTTTGAGAAATGACTTGAGACATAAATAGCTGACTGGAAAGGACAGTTAGTTCAAGACTGAGGGTAAGAAACTTGCCTAGGTCCAGATTTTTGGCCTAAGTGTAACTTAGGCAAAAAATGAATGAGAGACGAATTGGCCTACGTCAGACTTTGGCCAAATTACACTGGAAAATCAATTTGGCCCACGTCATTTTTGACTTAAGCCAAAATGCATTTTTTTTAACTTTGAAATGGTTAGGAGTATTTTAAATTTTAAGTCACTGGTATTAAAAGTAGATGTCAAGGAGTGCATGGTTCATCAGTTGTATTTTGGACTACGTCTAACAGACCAAAAACGTAGCAGCTTGACGGCAAATATTATGCGCATATAGTGTTATCATATTCCTCCCATATAGACCAATTAGATCTGTTTAGTTTTAGTAAGTGTTTTTACGGAACCTGCAAACCACTAAGGCCATATAAGTGCCGAAGATCAGAGACGTTACAAGCGAGTTTAGGTTTAGTAATAGATTTACGGCACTCGTAACAGTAACACAATAGTGTCATAACGCACGTGCCAAAAATATTAAAGATGGTACATGGGAGTAACAAACACAAAATAGAAGGAAGGGAGATGAGATAAGGGCTATGTATATTTGAGGGAAAGTAGAGTAATAAAGTA